CCCCCCCTCCCACGACCGGCCCCGCAACAGGTGAGGACCGCCCCCCCTTCCTCTTCCTCCCCCTTCCTCCCCCTCCTCCTCCTCTTCCTCACTCTCCTCTTCCTCCCCCTGCAGCGAAGGCTGGGAGCAGAACGGCCTGTACGAGTTCTTCCGCGCCAAGATGAGGGCCCGGCGCCGCAAGGGGCAGGAGAAGAAGAGCAGGTGGGGCAGTTGCCGTGTGGGGGGGCAGCGGGGGGGTCCTCCGGGGGGCACGCACTCACCCCCCCTCTTTTCTCTCCCCCCCCCCGCCCGCAGCGGCCCCTCGCCCTCCCGCAGCCGCTCCAAGAGCCGGGGACGCTCCTCCTCCCGCTCCAACTCGCGCTCCTCCAAGTCCTCGGGGTCCTACTCCCGCTCCTGCTCGCGCTCCCGGTCCAGGTCCTACTCCAGGTCCCGCTCCAGGTATGCCGGGGAGGGTGGGGCGCGGAGTGGCGGGACGGGGGTGGGCTGGAGGGCCACCGGGGGCCCTGTCGTCCAGGGGTTGGATCGGATGCCCCACATGGTCCTCCTGACTCCACTATCCCATCGTCCTGCTCCCGGGGTTGGACTAGATGTCCTCTGGGATCCTCCCAACACTATCTCATCGTCCTGCTCCCGGGGTTGGACTAGATGCCTTCGGTGGCCCTTCCAACTCCACTTTCCCGTCATCCTGTTCCCGGGGTTGGACTTGATGGCCTCCATGGTTCCTCCAGCCCCACTATCCCATCATCCTGCTCCCGGGGCTGGACTGGATGCCCTCCGTGGCCCTCCCAACTCCACTATCCCATTGTCCTGCTCCCGGGGCTGGACTAAATGCCCTCCGTGGCTCCTCCAACTCCACTACCCCATGATTCTATCATCCACGGGTTGGAGCTGATGGCCCCCACGGCCCTCCCAGCCCCACTATCCCATCATCCTGCTCCCGGGGCTGGACTAGACACCCCCCCATCCCCTCCCAACTCACTATCCCATCATCCTGCTCCGGGGGCCGGACCACACGCCCTCCATGGCCCCGCCGGCTCCACCACCCCAACCCCGGGCTCCTCCAACCCCTCATTCCCCCGGGGGGCCGGTCTAGAAGCCCTCTGGGGACCCGTGCGACTCCACCTCCCATCATCCTGCCCCGCAGAAGCCGCAGCTGCTCTCGCTCCTCCCGGAGCCGCTCCCGCTCCCGCTCCCGCTCCAAGTCCTACTCGCCGGGGAGGCACCGCCGCTCGCGCTCCCGCAGCCAGACGCCGCCGTAAGTGCCGGGGGGGGTGGGGGGGGCGGGTGCCGGGGCGCATGGGCCCGGGGGGCCCGCCGGGGCGCATGGGCCCGGCCCACCGCTCGCCCTCTCCTCGGCAGCTCCGCGGCCGGCTTGGGATCCAGCTCCGGGCCGCCGCCGCCGGACTCCCGGCTCGGCGAGGAGAACCGGGGACACCAGATGCTCGTCAAGATGGGTGAGAGGGGCTGCCCCCCCCCGGGGTGGGGTTTTGCCCCCGGGGTAACTTGGGGCTCTGGGCCGGGCTCCCCGGGGTGGGTTTGGGCCCTGGGGGTAACTTCGGGCCCTGGGCTGGGCTCCCCGGGGTAGTTTTGGGCCCTGGGGGTATGTTTCGACTCGGGGCTGGGCTCCCCGGGGTAGTTTTGGGCCCCGGGGGCAGTTTTGGGCCCCACGCCGGGCTCCCCGGGGCCCCCTCTGCCGCCTGGGGCAGTCCTTTTCCTGGGAAGGGTCCCCCGCTCCCATGCGCCTGCGCCCGAACACGGGGCGGGACGGGTCGCGCGGCACCGGGAGGACTGCCCTGCCCCACCCCGCCGGGGGGCCACCCGGACCCAGCGGCCCCTGACACCCCCCCCCGTGTCCCCCGCAGGGTGGAGCGGCTCGGGTGGCCTCGGGGCCAAGGAGCAGGGCATCCAGGACCCCATCAAGGGGGGGGACATCCGGGACAAGTGGGACCAGTACAAGGGGGTCGGGGTGGCCCTGGACGACCCCTACGAGAACTACCGCCGCAACAAGAGCTACTCCTTCATCGCCCGCATGAAGGCCCGGGATGAGAGTGAGTGCGCCCCGAATTTCTGGGGGGCCCCCCCATCTGCTGGGGACCCCCGGACCCCCGGCTGGGGGGTCCGCCACAGGTGCCGTGGGGGGGCCGTCCCCCTGCCCAGTGGGGGGGCCGGCCTGCTGGCCGGGGCGGATCAGGCCTCTGGGTGGAGGAGTGCCGTCCCGCCAGGGGACACCCTGCCTGGGGAGGCAGTCCTCTTGGGGGGCCACCCAGGGGCCACCCCAATAATATGGGGCCGACCCATAGCCCCCCAACAAGGTGTGGTTGATCCCAGGAGCCCCCGATAATGTGGGGTCAGCCCCCAATAATGTGGAGTCGACCCCATAGCCCCCCGAGGAGGTGGGGTCGACCCCGGAGCCCCCCAACAAGGGGCTCCAGCCCAGCGGCCCCCCTCTCACCCCTTTTCCCCCCTTCCAGATTAGGTCCGCCCCCCTCGGACGGACGGGCGGCCCCGCCGGCGAATCCCGGCCCTCCCAGCCCCGGACTCCGCCCCCCCTGGCCAGGAGACCCGCCCCCGGCGCCTCGTTAGCAGCCCCCCTTCGTTACGCCTTTTCTATTTTTGTAGCCCCCCCCCCGGAGCGAGCTGGGGGGCGCGTGCCCCCAACTCGGGGGGCCCCCCGGAAGTGTCCCTGTTGCCATAGCGACCAGCGATCCCAATAAAAGGTTCTTGTAAGCCAAGACTGAGTTTTCTTGCTCCTGGGCCAGGGGCGATGGTCTTCAGGGTCGGCCGGGGGGGCTGTCTGTGGAGTATGGGTGCTGTGGTCCCACTGTCGCGGGGGGGCGGGCCTGGCCCTGCAGGAGTGCGTCTGGGCAGGCAAGCCCGCGCAAGCTGCTAGTCCTCAACGAGGCCGGGGACTCTCATCACGTCCCGCTGAGGGGGGGGGGGAAGAGTCCTCTGGGGACCATGTTCCACGACCGGAAGCTTAAGGGAAACGCAGGCACATGGGTAAGGAGGCGCTCCTTCAGGCATCCAGCCCTGGGGACCATATTCCACAACCGGAAGCTCAAGGGAAACGCAAGCACATGGGCGAGGAGATACTTCTTCAGATACCCAGGTCTGGGATGGATTCCAGAACCCATGTGCCACCCCCAAGCAGGCCCCACCACGGGGACCGCCCCCCCCCAGGGCCCCTCCAAGGAGTTCTCTCGAAGAAGGACCCCCGACCAGGAACTTATGGGGCGGGCAGGTGCCTATAGGAGGCCCCCCTTCACATACCCAGGTCTGGGATGGATTCCGCAACCCATGTGCCACCCCCGAGCAGGCCCCGCCCATCAGGCAACCAGAGTCGTTTTTATGTGTGTGTGTGTCTGTCTCTCTCGCTTTATTCATGGGGAGGGTTTGGGGACGGGCCCCTGCCTGCCTCCCGGGGGGGCATGTGGGGGCCTCCGGGGCCCAGCGTCCCCGTCTGGTACTGGTACCGGAGTTCCTGCTCCTCCAGGGAGGCCACGGCGGAGTCGCGCAGCCGCCGGCTGTGCTGGGCGAAGTCCCGGATCAGCCCCAGCAGCTGCAGCAGGAGGTCGTCCAGGGCGGCGGCGGTGGGGCTGGGGGGCGCCGGAGCTGTGGGGAGCGGGGGCGGGGTCAGTGGGGGGCGGGAGACGGGGCTGGGAAAGATGGGAGCGGGGAGGCAGAGTGGCTCCCGGCGGCAGGGAGGTGGTGGGGGGGGGGGTTGGGGTAAGACTGGATGTCCTCGCGGGTCCCTCCTGCCTCTCTCTAAGCAGAGCTGGGGTCAGACTAGATGCCCTCGTGGACCCCTCCTGCCCCGCTCTTTCTATGGGTCTCTGGGCAGGGCCAGGGTCGGACTAGATGCCCTCGGGGGTCCCTCCGGCCCCGCTCTTTCTATGGGTCTCTGGGCAGGGCCGGGGTCAGACTCGATGCCCTCGCGGGTCCCTCCTGCCCCGCTCTTTCTATGGGTCTCTGGGCAGGTCCGGGGTCAGACTCGATGCCCTCGCGGGTCCCTCCTGCCCCGCTCTTTCTATGGGTCTCTGGGCAGGGCCGGGGTCAGACGAGATGCCCTCTTGGGTCCCCAAACCAGAGCGCCTACCTTCCCCCCACAGATCGTCCGGTTCTGGGGGTCCCCAGCCTCCTCTCCCAGCATGCCTGGCGGCGTCCCCCGGGGCCCAGCTGGTCTGCACGGCGGCGTCCTTGGTGCGGGGCCCGGGCTCCGCCAGGGATGATGGGCCCGGCCCCCCCGGCGCCGGGGACGATGGGCCGGGCTCGAAGTCGTCGGAGTAGGCGCTGAGCAGCTCCGAGATCTCGGAGTCGGTCCCATCGTCCACGGGCAGGCTGAGGAGGCGCGCCCCGAAGCCTGTGGGGCGGAGGGGGGAGAGCCGATCAGGGCGCGGGCACGCAGCCCCGCTGTGGCGCATGGGCCTCGGGCCGGGTCCACGCCCAAACCCATCGTCGACAGGCAGGGCCTGTGGCTATCCCCTCCGAAGCTGCAGGCGGGGGAGAATGGGACTCGTGGAGCGGGTCCCACCCCCTGAGATGTGGGGCAGACCTCCTCCTCTCCATTCCCCCCCCAACGGGGATGATGGGAGTGGCTCCCTAGGGCGGGGCCTGCTCTGGGTGGCCCCCGATTCCCAAATCCGCCCCCCAGACCTGGACACAGGAATCATCGCCCCACATGCACTTCCCCGCCCCCTGAGATGTGGGGCAGAGCTGCTCCTCTCCATTCCCCCCCAATGGGGATGATGGGAGTGGCTCCCCAGAGCAGGGCCTCCATTACGTGGCTCCCTCTGGCCGGGACGAACCATTTTCTGCTGGGGGGGGGAAGGGTCCCCGCTTGGCAATGGGTCTGCCCGCACCTTGGGAGGGGCTCACCTGGCTCGCTCCCCACGGAGGAATCCGTGAGCCCATCTGCCACGGCGGAAGAGGGCCGGTCCGGGGAGGAGGAGGAGGCGGCACTTCCGGCGGGGTCCGGAGACTCCGGGGGGGTCCAGGCGGCGCTCGGCGGAGACCTCTGAGCATGGGAAGAGTGCTTTTTTGAGCAGGGAGATGGTGAGTCGGTGAGGGGAGAGGAGTTGAGGGGACCTCTGAGCATGGGAAGAGTGCTTTTTTGAGCGGAGGGGGGATGGTGAGTCGGGGAGAAGTGTTGAGGGGACCTCTGAGCATGGGAAGAGTGCTTTTTTGAGTGGGAGGGAGGATGCTGTGTTGGTGGGGGGAGAGGCTTCACCGAGATCTCTGAGCATGGAAAGAGTGCTTTTTTGAGCAGGAGGAAGGGATGGTGGGGGGAAGAAGGGGGAAATGGGAGGTGATTTCTTGCAGGAGCAGATTAAATAAAAAATATATATATAATGAAACAAAATGAAACTCAATACAACAAAATATAAAATGAAGTAAAATAATAGAATAAGTTAAACAATGAAAGAAAATAAGGAAGTAAAAAATAAAGGAAATCATAAAATAAAACGATAACACTAAAAAATCAAATAATAAAATGAAGTAAAATGATAAAATGAAATAATGAAATGAAATAATATAATAAAAATAAAGTAATAAAAGGAAGTAAAATGATAAAACAGTGAAATGAAATAATAAAATACAAAATAAAGTGATAAAATGAAGTAAAATGATAATGAAATGAAATAATAATAATAAAATTTATTTATTTTATTTACTTATTAAAACATTTTTATGCCGCCCCATTCGCCGAAGCCTCGGGGCGGCTTACAACATAGATAAAACAAGTTAAAATCCATATAAAATAATCTTAATTAAAACTCACATTATAAAATAAGCCGCCCTGGCCAGATAAAATTCAATTGTATTTAGCATTTAAAATGTTGCTTAAATAAAAAGGTCTTAGCCTGGCGCCGAAAAACAAATAACGACGGCGCCAGGCGGACCTCTCTGGGGAGCGCATTCCATAACAAAATACAAAATAAAGTGATAAAATGAAGTAAAATGATAAAACAATGAAATGAAATGAAATAATAATATAATAAAATACAAAATAAAGTGATAAAATGAAAATGATAAAACAAAATAAAATAATGAAATAAAATAGAATACAGCATGCTTCAGCTGTGGATGCTGGGCCCGTGAGTCGCCGGCCATTACCTTTCCGTCCGCCTGCGCTCCCAAGAGGGCTTCTCCCGCCTTGGATCCCGAGGGATTCCCTCGCCCATCGTCCTGCTCCCTTCCAGGCTGGTCTCCGCCCGCAGCACGTGCTTCCTCTGCATGGGAGTCGGAGTCCTCCCCGGGCCCGGTGGCCCCCGGCTCGGAGATGCAGCTTGGCTCGCTCGCGGAGCTCCCATCGTCCCCACGGGGGGGCGCCGAGATGCGCCGGCGCCGGAACCTGTCCTCAATGAGGGCCAGTCGCATGAGCAGGGCGTTCGGGCGCCCCCCGGACGCCCCCCGGAGAGGGGGATTGTGGGAAACCGGCCCGGAGTCCGGGGCCGGCTCGCGGGGCTGCTGTTTCAGGAAGTGGCGGCTGGGCCGGGGATGATGGGTGGGCGCTCCCGGGGCCGCCTGCTCGGCCGGCTCTTCCCAGCCAGGGGGCAGGAGGTCTTCCTGGGGGGAGAAGGAAGCGAAGGGGTGAGGCCAAGGGGGGGGGTGTAGAAACCGAGCAGGGCAGGAGGTGTCCCCTGAGGGCATCTAGTCTGACCCCGGCTCTGCTCAGAGACCCATAGAAAGACAGCGAGGCAGGAGGGGGTCTGCAAGGGCATCTAGTCTGACCCCGGCTCCACTCAGACCCATAGAAAGAGAGCGAGGCAGGAGGGGCCTGCGAGGGCATCTAGTCTGACCCCGGCTCTGCTCAGACACATAGAGACAGAGCGAGGCAGGAGGGGCCTGTGAGGGCATCTAGTCTGACCCCGCTCCTAGCCGGCTCCTCTCAGAGACACATAGAAGCAGAGCGAGGCGGGAGGGACACCCCAAGGTCATCTAGTCTGACCCCGGTCCTAGCCGGCACATAGAGACAGAGCGAGGCAGGAGGGGCTCCCCAAGGGCATCTAGTCTGACCCCGGTCCTAGCCGGCTCTGCTCAGAGACACATAGAAACAGAGCGAGGCAGAAGGGGTCTCCTTGGCCATCTAGTCTGACCCCAGCTCCGCTCAGAGACGCATGGAAGCAGAGCGAGGCAGAAGGGGTCTCTGGGTCATCTAGTCTGACCCTTGCTCTGCTCAGAGACACATAGAAACAGAGTGAGGCAGAAGGGGCCTCCAGGTCATCTAGTCTGACCCCGGCTCTTCACAGAGACACATAGAAACAAATATCCCATCCCAAAGCATCACATACGGAAGCAGCCAAGGAAATTTGGGATTAAATTCCATAAATCCGCACTTCCTATTGTTGCCCGAAGGGCCAGAGCGGGAATTTTGCTCCATGTGCGGAAGGCACTCTGCACATGCTCAGGGGCACTCTTGCTCGGAGCCGCGCTCCGGCCCGGCGCTCCGGGCACTCTGCGCATGCCCGGGAGCACGCTGGGATTAGACTCGGGTTGATTCGCGATCCCCACGTTCTTCGGAGCGCGCGGCAGACCCGGGTGACGTCACCGCTGGGCGCGGTGACGTCACCCCGGCAGGACGGGGGCGGCGCGGAGAAGTCACCTGAGGGGGCCCCGCTTCGGAGCGCGGCCCCGACCGGGCGGCCGGGGCCCGGCCCGCCGCGCCGCTTCTGCGCTCCGCCGGCCGCATCGCCACGCAAGGCCGAGGCCTCTTCCTAGGCCCGAGAGGCCCTGCCTAGCAACCGCGCCGTGCGTCGCTGCCTGGCAACGGCGCCGCGCCGCGTCGCCCTAGCAACGTCCCGCGCGCCCGCCCGCGATTGGTCCGCCGCTGCAGTGGGGCGGGCGGTAGCCGCGGCGACGGCCGCGCCGCCGGCGCTGGCCAATCGCGGCGCGGCGCGCGCGCGGCGCGGCCAATGGG